ATGTCTGCGTGACGCATGTGTGGGAAGTGAGAAGAGCGACAGAACTCATCAAGTGGTCAAAGGTGGAACTGCATGGGGCAGGGATAGAATTCCAGAAAGGTAAAAAGGAAGGGGATGATCCTCAGAAAGATGAGAACAGAGAAGGTCTGGGAATTGGAGAGCAGTGAGCAGCATCTGAGCAAGGGTTGACACTGGAAAGGGAGAGGCCAGGTCAGTGGAAGGAAGCTGAAGAGGGGAACAAGAAATGAGAGCAGGCTGAGGCTGAGGCCAGGCAAGAAACATGAGAAGCTCACATTTGACAAGGGAAGAGAGAAGGCAGAAAGGATACAAGGTGAAAGCATTGTTCCTAGGACACAAGTTACACCAGAATTCCTCTTCTGACTCTCCTGACCATTTTGTTCTGCCTCAGAATTTTCACTTCCAATGGGGCTCAGTAATGAGCTTTATCTAAAGCTATGGGAATACTATGCAGAAGTAACAAGAGCTGGTTGGAAAATGTTCAGGTGGCTTCATAAGGCTTTTTTGTCAGGAAAACCTAACCAATCCATTCAGTTTAGCTCTGACCACAATCAAACACGATGGTGGCTGCAAGTGAGCCACTGTCCAGCACCCTTACTTTCCTGGTCTCTTGTATTCAATCATCCACTTGACACCAATGACCAAGCTGTCATCCTGTACTAGGACTTAGGATTATAAAGAGAAATAAGACACACTCTCTGCGTACAAGTTGTTCATAGATGATGCGGATGACAGGTAGCCAAAAATAACAATGTGTTCAGAAATGCTATGATAAACATATTAACAAAGCATTACTGAGAGGCAGGAGAGAAAGTCCTCTAACCACTTCCCATCTACCCCCATCCCAGAGCTTAATTGGTTCATTTCAGGAAAGTCCCCTTCTAACCCAGACTGCCTACCTAATTACATCCCTTGAAATTTTGACCATTCTTCAAATCTTGGGTCAAATTTCATTTTTTCAACGAAGTAGTTCCTAATCTGAGAAGTAGCAACTCATGGGAATTAGTCTTTCCATTCTGTGGGCTTCCACCACACCTTCTTTAATCTCTGTTTTAATATTTGCCCCAATTATTTTTAACTGAATATGATAATTTGTATATATAAAACTAAATTGTAAGCCCTTTTATACTCGGGTTGATACCTGATTCATCTTTGGGTCTCCCCCAAGCCTGAGCATGGAGGTTTCTTAATATGTACTCAGGGTCAGTTTATTTAGACCAGTTACTCTACAGTCCCTTTCAGGATGCTAAAGTGAGAGGACCCTGCTTCATTCTGGCAGTTGCAAGTACTTGTTTGCACATGCCAAAAATAAGTTCTTGTTTTAAAGGGGCATAAAAGGGCTTTTAGACCTAAAATGTCTTATTCCTCCCATCTCTTTTCACATTTGAACAAAGAATGGGCATTTATAGTTTATTTGATTTAATTAATCAAAGAATTTTTAATTTGGAAAAGACTCTATATTTCCTTTAATCCTACAGCTTAATTACAAATGAAGAAACGAAGTCCTGAGAAATTCAGATGCTTCTTCAATATCACACAGCCAGAACCAACAACATCAAATCTTAAGTTCAAGGCTCTCTGCAATAGACTAAACACTTTACCTTCAATAAAAAGGGAAAAACATGATTTTTAAAAAATCTAAAAAAAAAAAGACAAGAAAAGAAATACACTAAAATATAGAAAAAGAATTCATTGAAAATATACATGTTATAGAAAACATTTTTTCTATCAGTCCATTTGTCCATAAAGAATATCATGCTTTCACCAATGTCAATGAAAATGTTTGTAGAGTTTAAAGCTTTAATTTAAAAATCTGACTTTTGCAACTTCCAGATCCTTTACCCTTGGGGTCTCCAATCACTCTAAATAGTTGGCAATGAGATTTGTTCTGAAGTTCTTCTCCAGAATATTTCAATGTGTTTGGATGATACTGGCCATTAACAGGTGTTCTTAGCAGTTGTATAAGTAAAATAATACATCAAGTCTTTGTTGAGAGGTACATGCACACCTGTTCTCTCCCATCATGCCTTAGGCAAATGCAGCAGATGCATTCAAATATAACCTAGTTTACTCCATCCCAGTTCTGCTATTATTGCCGGAACTCCTGCCTTTTCTCTGACCTTTCCCTGGGGCCACCCCAACCCCATCCTGACAGATCTGACACAATCTTATAGATACCCTATGTCGTTGTCTGTTGGCACACAGGAGCACACACGTGTGCATACACATCACACAAAATAGGTCTAAGCAATAAATCTGAATTTAAAACTTCCTGGGTTCTAATTCTAAACAGGGATATATATGTATACACACACACACACACACACATACACATATATATACACATACATATATACAACTATATATACACATACACATATATACCACATATATCATATATATCATATATAATTGTAAACATGTAAATATATATATTACTCAGATATATAATTTGTATACATGTATGCCTGCCTATCTATCTCTTCATAGTGATATATAATCAGTCAGATAAGGACCACCTAGTCTTAAACATAATTTCATTTGCCGCAGAGGACAGACTGTGAAAACTGGTTTTTAGTTAGAGACTACCACCCCCTCCCCCAGTACACACACACACACACACACACACACACACACAGCTGCTCTGTGCTTCCCCAAGGCCCCCTGAGGGGCGCAGGGATAGTGCATGGGTTTTGGAGCCAGCTAGACAGGGACTTAATTGTTAGTTTTGTTATTTACTATTTGTGTGATCTTTAAAAATTACTTAATCTCTTTTCTTGTTTCCAAAATGAGGATGTTAGTAGCTATCTTGGAGGTATAGATATTTAAGGTATATAATGTTTGCCAGTGGGTGCTGGGGTTAGCACTTAATAAGTAAGAACTATCATGCTGAAGTTGATCACAAAGGGGAAGAGGTATAGGGGGAATGGGGGAGGAAGACGATGAATTCCACTTCCTGAATGCCTTCTGTATTTCAGAATTTCTCCACAAGGCTTGGCAGAACTTGAGTGCTAGCCATTAGCTAGGGAATATTAAGCTTGAGGGAGGGGAAAGGAAACTGGTGGGGGTGAAGGATGGTTGGTGGGGAGGCGTCCATAAGTGGCTAGCACTTACATGTGACTTTTCTGTGTTGAGCTCATATATACATACGCTCATGCCCCTTCCACTGCTGGGAAAAGGACATTCACAGAAATGAATTCAGCATGTTGAGGAGTCAAGGTCATTTTTTCTTTTTCTTTCTTTCTCCCCCCGCCCTTTTTTTTCTTTCTTCCACAAAGGACCAGACTTCACAAAGCAGGGTGAACAAATTCCTATGTCCTCCATAGTGACTAATCACAGCATTTCCAGTTACGGCAGCAGACTCCGGCTATTTGCCTACTTCCCCTGGCAATTCTAGTAACTGTGAGATACCCTATAGATTGCAGAACAAATGCCCAGCTCCTTTCAGGAGTCGCGGTGTCAGAGCACATATCCAAGCCACTGGCAGAGCTGGGGCTGTGGTCTGATCTGTCCGTCCAAAGTACAACAGGAAGGAGGAAGCCCGGACATGCCCTGAATGAGAGAGTCATTTAGGGCCTGCCTAAGATGCCATGCTGTTTGCAAACACACACTACCTGCCATACCACCTGACCAAACAATTCCACCGGAAAGCCTGAAGACAGATGACTAATGTTAAAAGAAGCCTGTGCATCATTTCAGTGATGACTCCACAGGCATCAATTAAACATGGAAAAGACCTGTTCTGAGGCATGACCATCTGGCATTTCCCAAGGAACTATAGTCAATGGCTAAGACACAAGTGATCATAACTATAAAGAGATTTAGCAGCCCTCTCCTTGCTCAAAAGCAGCAAGAGCCCATAAGGACAATGAACCTGGAAGACCTCCAAAAGAAGAGGCGAGTAAGGAAAAGGCTGCATCTAAAGCCAGCTCTGCTCTTCCTCATGCATAGAAAGCAAAGATCTGGGTTGCATGAGGTCATGCACAAAAATCAGACTGCTCCCAGGGATGCTTGCGAGTTTGTCTGGAAGTCTAGAGCTCAACATCAATTGTTATGTCTCCAGGTGAGAGAAAACATTGGCAGTAGTCCATCCCCTGCTCCTAGGGGTGCTTTTCAAGTACAGCCATCTGGGACTTTGCCCAGCACAGCAGACCAAGATCACTGTAGTCCAAATGACCCTCCCTCGAAACCAAGTTCTAGCCAGCTTTTGAGTGTTAGGAAGAGGACACATTTAACAAATTTAATGAGAGTGATACCAAGGCATAAAACCCCTGGGATAGAAACTGTGGCTGGAGGAGAAGTGTTTTTCAATGCTCTGGTTCTAGATCAGTCAGGCAGACACCTGTATATATATAGACAAATCTTCAAACACCACCTCATCACACCTAATGACTGCCTGTGACCTCTGATGAGCATTTGCATTCTCTATTTCTGGCTTTTCCAACAGCAAAAATATGTGTCTTTATACTCAGTCCTGGTTCGGAACCTGTTATCTAATGCTAATCTTTGTTTGTTTGTTTTTCCTATATGCAAGGTCAAACTAATGAGAAAAAAAATACTTTTCAGTTTTAATTTTGATCCAGATTGAAAATCGTTAATGACTTTTTATTCATTACTCGTGAGTTCTCCTTTTTTCTTTAAGTGATTCAGGTACTCACATGGCCTGGTTCCAACATTAGGAATGTAACATTCTTAGAATGAGACTACCAAGTAAAAACAAAACACAAACAAAAAGACGCAAATAAACAAAAAAAATGGTGCTACCATTCTCCCAAGCCCCTTTTGCCAATGATGCAGTGTACTTAAATCTGTTTACAGCAGCTGCTTCAGTGTTAAGTTTTTGGTTGGAAATAAAAACGTTTAGTAAGGTCACTGACAATTATTTTCTCAGCACAACAGAAAAGCAACCCAATCCATTAATAATAACAGCACTAAAATGGCAGAAGCAAACACAGTGGGAACAAGTAGGAATAGAAGAGTACCTGGGATTGCCAGATTGGAAAGGGGGACGTTGTGGAGGTGAGGGGGTAGCGAGGCCATCCAGTCGGCATTGCAGACCTCCGATGATGTCTTTGTCCCGCTGGGGTTGGGGGAGCAGATGGTCCCCATCCTGAGTTTCCTCCTTACCTTCCTAACTGCTAGCATCCCTCTTTGTCAGTCAACAAACTGCCCAGGCTCAGCCCGGTGCCACTCACTCAGTGATCATCATGGCCCAGACTCTAGACATTCCAGGGCCATCTTTGTCAAGCCAGTCTTGCCAAAAGACCTTTCTGCCGGGGAGACGGGGCAAGTAGGTGGTTCCCTACCCCCCAGCCCCCGCAGTCCCCACCCTCTCCGGCCCAGCCGCTGTTCCACTCCCTTAATCTGCTCAGACCCGGCTCCGTTAAACTTCTTACGTTCCCCTCTGGAGCCGGGGTTAGGTAGGCCCCTAGAGAGCAATCTTACAGAAACTGAACGTCCGGCGAGCAGCCACGCCCGGAGCCACTCACACGACAGGTGCCCTTACGGCGTACGGACAAGCCGGTGGGTCTCTACACACGTGAGCGCCCGGACCCAACATCACCAGCCGGATTTATGCCTCTCTGTGTGTCACCGGGCTGGCCCAGAAGCTGGGCCTGCCTACTCCTCCTCCCACCGCTTCTCAGCACACACTCCCCCTGCCCTGTGGCTTTCCGAAGGCGCTCAGAAGTGTAACCGGCGGCGCCCGGACTCCCGGCAGCCCCGCCCCGCACTGCCGGGCAGATTTGCCGGGCTACGCGGCCCGTGATTGGCCGCTGGCGGAGCGCGCTCCGATTGGCCGGCGTCCGGCCGGGCTGCCCCTCGGAGCGCTCCCACCCCTCCGCGACCCAGTCGCCTCCCTCCGTTACTCCAGCCCCGCTGAAGGGAGGCGGGCGCCGCCGCGGGGACTGCAGGCGGAGGAACTTGCGGGCGGTGTCTAGTCCTGGGACCTCAAGAAGGGGTGGCCTTCTGGCCTTCCAGGAAGCCAGCGCTCAGATGCTGAACACGACCACAGATTATGTTTCTTTCCTTGTGTCTTTCTTCGACACACACACACACACACACACACACACACACACACACACACACAATGACAATCACATAGAATGTATTACATTTTAATAAACCACAGAGGTGGCAGAAATAGGAGGAGTGAGAAGGCTGAGAAAGGTGAAATATATCATATTTGGATGACAACCTCTAGGATGGTTTGTTTCAGCAGTTACATAATGAAGATTTACTTACACACCTCTTAGCCCCATCTTACAGAGGAGGGAATAATGATGACTTCTATTTGTATTACTCAGGTATTTGAAACCTTCTTGCAAATTCTTTGTCCCATTTGATCTTCACAGGACCCCATAGGGCAGGGCAGGTGGTGGATAGGATGCCCTTTTCACAGATGAAATGGAAGTTCTGGGGCGTTCAGAGAGCAGCTGGCCCTATTTGGAAATGCCATTTTAAAAGGAAACCCTCAAATCCAGAGGTCTGTAAGCACACAAACTCATTTCCCTGCTTTCTTCAATATTCCCTACTCCTTCAAATGGTACTTTTTTATGGTGGTGTACTATAGGTCTCTAATGGTATGAGAACTTTGCACAGCAATAATCAGAAACATCCTGGCCAACAGGCAAAATCAGAACGCCCCACCCCCACCCAGGACCTTGATAGTGGGGTCCTGGAGGGCTTCAGGTCAGGCAGCTCCTGGGTGACTCAGGAGGGGCTTATGTGAAAAGCAAGCAGCAGGCTTTGCTAAGAGAAAAGTGAAGGCTGACATCCAATCACTGACCAGCCCACTTCAACTCCAGGGTAACTCCACAGGCCCCTGCAATGCCTGTGCCCTAGGCACCTCTCAATGCACATAACTCCTCCTCATATTGTCCCTGTGGAGGCCAGGAAAAACAAGGCTTGTACCCACCTCGAGTCTAGCCCTGACATAAGTACAGCCATCTTGATGTTCCAGATTATCAAAATATTTCTTGGGTTCTGACCTACTCAGGTTAGCACTTTAAACAGTCCCTCTCTCCTTTAATAATTGATTTAAACCCCTGGACTCAGCTGCCTCTGTCTTTCATAACTCCCCTACACATTCCCCAACTGATCAATGTTGACCCGAGTAGGTAGGGACAACTCTACGCCCCTACTCAGCAGGAAGAAGTTACAGAAGATGAGACCTTCCACCTTCAGCAACCTTAAAGATTTAAGGGTCAAAATTGTTCAGGGGGAAATGTGGAGGCCGAGAAAATTAAGGCCATCCCACCTCAGGTTTAGCTGATGTGGGAAACAGAGGCAGAAGAAAATCATTAAAATTCCTTACCTACTGACAAGCCCTTGAAACAGATAGAGTAGCTCTCCCCTGGGGACTTAACTGCCCTCACCTTGAGGTTTTGCTAAGGACAATCCTAGCCTGACCAACCCTCTACCCCAACAGGTCCAACCAGGATCCTGTAAGTCTACGTTAACAATTCCTTTATCTCTAAACCTCCAAGATAGTGTCAAGAATCATTCCCAAGTATATGGCCCACTGATATACATCTAAAGGGTCTCATGAGAAGATTTTTATTATTGGTAATAAATAACCCTTCTCCCAACAATAGCTAGCCCCCCAAGGTCCTGGAGACCTTGCTTCCAAAATTCCTTAGAGACTTGCGCCATCCCTAATCCCCTTTGTCCTCACCCACCGCCCAGTCCACCCCTACTCTGCCTTTAAAAACTCTGACTATAATCTGGTTCGGGGTCCAAGTCCCTACTCCGCTGTGTCGGGTATACTTGGGCCCAAGCTTAAGCTTGTCAAATAAACCCTCATGTGATTGCCATCGGTGCTTGGCTCCTTGGTGGTCTCTTGGACATGAAAACTCGGGCATAACAGTCCCCCTTTCCTCTTCCAGGTTATCCTTAACATTCATTTGAACCTGCTTTTTAGTCCTTTGAGCTGCCTGGTATTACAGGAAATTTTTGTTTTTGTTTTTCTGGAGGAGTATCCCATCATTAATAAAAAGAAAGTGTTCATCACGTATCTTCTGGTGTTTAAAGGGCACTTCAATATAGTGCTCTTTTTTCCAAGCACACCGTGGCACATGTTTGAGTTCACATTTAAAAAAAATTTTTTTTAAGATTTTATTTATTTATTTGACAGAGAAAGACACAGTGAGAGAGGGACCACAAGGAAGGGGAGTGGGAAAGGGAGAAGCAGGCTTCCTGCTGAGCAGGGAGCCTGATACTGGTCTCAATCCCAGGACCCTGGGATCATGACCTTAGCAGAAGGCAGATGCTTAACCACTGAGCCACCCAGGTGCCCCTAGAGTTCACATTTTTTATTCCTCATAGAAAAATCACTCCGTAAAGAAATATCCCAACATCTACTTTTGAAATGTCACCTTTCTGTGCTTTTCTTGAGTTTAACACCCTTTTAAAAATTCCTAAATGCAAAATTTTATTGAAGCTGGCTAAGGCAAGCAAAATGTGTTCTTTAAGCTCTATGGTGGTATGTTAATTTCAATGCAATTTTCCCCTTGATTTTTTAGCTCTTAATGGAAGGAGTGAGCATATTAAGAAGGTATTAAAGGTGGGGGGGACTTGGTGGCATGGTCAATTAAGCATCCAGCTCTTGGGGTCATGATTTCAAGGTCTTGAGATCAAGCCCCACTTCAGGCTCCAAGCTCAGCTTGGAGTCTGCTTAAGACTCTCTCTCCCTCTGCCCCTCCCCCTCCAATAAATAAATCTTTTTTAAAAAGAAAGCATTAAACTTTAGATTTAGAGATATCACTGTGTGAGAATTCAGAAACAAGAGACGTGGAATCACTTAAGACTAGAAGTTTTGTGTCTCCATGAAATTGGCAGCTTTTTTGATCACAACGACTTGACTTTGCCAAGAAAACAGTTCAAAAGAAGCCAGCGCTCTTCTTCATAGATTCTTGAGTCATCCTGGGAGAAATCTTGGAGATGAAATCATAGCGTGTAGTACGGTTCTTGGCATATAGCAGGTGCTCAATAAATGTTTGTGAGAAGGAGACAGATGCTTGGTAAAACATGCTCCGTGGGGTTCTAGGAAGTGTCTGAGAGTAGGGTTTTTAAAAACATTAATGTGTAAATCCATCATATTTGGGTTGCATTGTTCTGAGATGGGCTCAGATTCTGCATTCCTAAATTTCTAGCTGTGCTGGTTCAGACCACACTTGTAGGTAGCAGTGCTTTAGAAAACAGGCTCGTGTTTCATAGGTGGGTCCTTGTATTGCTTTTTCTCTTCATTTTCCAGGGTTTTATTATATTTTTACATCACTTTTATAATTTAAAAAACTTGCGTTAAGAATCTCAGCTAAGTGGGTGCCTGGGTGGCTCACTAGGTTAGGCATCTGACTTCGGCTCAGGTCATGATCCTGGGGTCCTGGGATCGAGCCCTGTGTCAGTCTCCCTGCTCAGTGGGGACCCTGCTTCTCTCTCTCCCTCTGTTTCTGCTCCTGTGCTCTGTCTCTTGCTCATTCTCTCTCAAATAAATAAATAAAATCTTAAAAAAGAATCTTTAGCAGGTAACCCACCCACTAAGGGTGGCTTCGTCGGTTAAGCAGCCTACTTTGGATTTTGGCTCATGTCGTAACCTCAAGAGCCCCATGTTGGTCTCTGCACTCAACCTGGAGTCTGCTTGTCTCTCTCCCTCTGCTCCTCACCCCTCTTGTGTGCTCTCTTGCGCACTCTCTCTAAAATAAATAAATACAATCTTTAAAAAAAGAATCTCAGCTAAGAATCTGTAAGTAGAAGAGAATAATTTTTCCTCTCAAATAATGTAATGGAAACCAAAATATTGGTGGGATTTTTATACTATGCTACAGATATTTGGGGAAAATGATTTTAAAATAAAAATAAAATTTAGGATTTGGTTAAGTAGTATTTTCTTACATGCTGGATTATGAAAGTTACTGAAGGGTTGTGGGCCTAAACTAACAGAAGGAGTAAGATAATAATTACAATGGATGGGAGTGCTTATCATGTACCAGTCGTTCTGGTAGGTGCTAGGAATGGAGGAAAAGTTAAGTGAAAGCCGGCATCTGAGGAACCTCAGATAGAATATAATTCAGGAGAAAAGAGAGCGAAATATGTGAATTACACATTGTGATGTGAAGTGGAAGGAAGGGATAATACAGACATGTAGAGATGGACAAAGAGATGCACATTTTGATGGGGGTGGAGAGGGCCAAGGGACATGTTCTCAGAGGAGGCATTCGAGCCCAGACTGGAATTCTGAAAAAGGTTTCTTCAGGTGGAAAATGGGCAGGCGGTTTTGGCGTGAGAAAGAGATGTGCTCTGGGGAAAACAGCAGCAGCAAAACTGTGACTGTGAGTGGGAAATGGGAAACAGGAAAGCTGCTAGAAGGGCAGCTCGAGGGATAGGTGGGAAATAGGTCTCATTCATTCTTGCTGAACCTTCACAAGAGGCCGGTGAGTTAGGTACTATCTCTATCCATATTTAAAGAGGATGCTAAAGCTTCAAAACGACACAATTCTGCCCAAGATGTCATAGCTAGTTAGTGGCAGAGCTGTGACTCTAAGTCTCTTGATCATAGTGCCAGTGACTCTCACTAGGGGTTACCTGTTCATACTGTAAACTTGGTAGAGTTTATAATAGAAATATATTAAAAAG